AAAAAAAAGAATTAATTATCATAAATTTATTGTTAAAAAAGCAAAATCATAGCATTATGTTTTTTTTTAAAGTTAAATAAATATTTCTAAATATAAAAAACAATTATATATATTTAACTTTCATATCATGTCTATTTTGATCATTTTACATACCCACAGCAATTCAACATCAAAATTTACCAAACGCTATTACACTGATTTTAGAACCAGCACAGCTACTATAATTATAATTTACCAAACACTCAGCTTATTCTTGTAACAGTAGCTTCTTCCTTCAGCACAGCTAAAAGCAATTTTTCTAAAATCCGCAGCAATACCAAACTAAGCCATACTTTAGAATGTATTTGTCTCCTTACCTCGGTATATAAAACGTAAGAAAGTGACATTGCAACTCATGATAAACAAAACTTTTGTTTTAAGAAGCATGCTAAGAAAGCTTTAAACCATTAACCGTATATATTAATTATACATAAGTAGTGCTTCCCTAGAAACATTCAAACCAAAAACAACAATAAAGTTATCGATGGCATAGGGAGTCAATTAATTAAAAACAATAAACTATCTTATAAGCATATATTAGTTATTTAATTGGATCTTGTGCCGTAAGCTGGGTAGGATCATGGACATTTGGGGCCTCCTCTCTTGGTCTTCCAGTTATTGTAGCAAGGGCAGAGTTGTTTGTTCCCATATGTGCCCGGGGGCACGCACAAGCACTTTGCGCAACACTTCTGGCAGAAGAACATGCATGGCTTCTTGTAGGCTGTGGCCGAGCACCGGCTCGTGCAGCGCGGAGCGCACTCTAAACACCGAAAATATTCTGTTAGCTGTCTTTTTTTTTTCCTTTTTAAATTAAAAAAATAAAGTGGTTTTATGTGAATAATAACACTGGACTATAAGGCCACAATATTTCGTTCAGTGATATTATAAAACTTTATAAAATTTTTTATTAAGTATGCCATGTATTATACGTTAAATGATGGACAAATCAATTTATGCGTTGCTTTTGCCAACAATAAAAAACTGCAAGTGCATTGTATTTATTTATTTTTACATCATCAAACATCTAAAAATTTATTTCCCAGTGCGACCAGCATTGACTAAGGGTGATTCTAGTAAATGAGTTGCTAGGTTGGGGCAGAAAGTAATCACTTTAGGTTCCCAAAATAAAAAGTCCCTTTAGGGACCATGAAGTGCCAAATGGCAGCTGATGATGTTATCTAGTCATCTCAACTCTAGTGAAAATCATGACCCAATTGCTAATACTGTCAGTATTGCCAATATTAAGGTTCTGTTCACTTTGCTGATTCGAGTTAAGAATTTAAGTTAAAATGTGATTTTATGTGAGAATTTTTTACTGTAGTAAAAAAATTAAATATAATTATTTATGAGAGTTTTTTACTGTAAAAAAATTTAAATTTTAAACTCGAATCAGCTAAGTGAACAGAGCCTAAAAATACTCAAAATGTTTGATAAGCTATTCATTTCGTCTAACAATATATTGTTGTTCGTTCTTTAAAAAGTTTGAGTTATTAGAACGTGGACTAATAATAATTTTATATTCTAACAGTTATCAACGTATTAAAATGCTCAACCGAATAAAAGATTGTAATGAAAGTGACACCAACAAAAAGTATCATAATAAGAGATGCGATATTTTACCAACCTTGAGGATGGAGGCTACCTTGGGTAGAACCGTACTGCAATATTGCAGAGAAATTGTTATTACCATATGAAAAGGTTTAAAAAAGGTGCAATATTCTTTTGTCATTTTACCCTTGCTGAGGATCAGGAAAAGAATATATATATATATATATATATGATATTAATGATATTTTGTTCTCACCACAGGTTGGTTCTTTTGTTTTTTTTGCTGCGAGGCTTGAGTTTCCACCTTTAAAGCCTAGAATTGAAGCATCAACATCGTAAGAGTAAGTTTATGAAAGAAGCAAATTTAACACATTAATCCTAAGGAATTGTATAGTGACTAAAACAAATTAAAATCATGCTAGTATATAACTATTCCGGAATTCGAATCATGAACTTCCCATTCTAAGATATTGAAAACTATATGAAGAGAAAAATGCTTAATAATATTCATGAACAAAATTCTCCAGAAAAAAAATACTCTTAATAAGTGAGTATATATAGAATACTGAAAGCTGTCGATTATGTTGATATATATATATATATAGCTAAAAAGTGTGGTTTTAATTACCTGGATTTCTGCGAGGAAAACAAGCATAAAAGCTACAAATAAAATGAGGATGCTTAATTTTCTAGTCATATTAATTGGATAAGAAAGAAGAAAGATTGGTATCTGGTTATAGAAGAGTGAGTTTGTTAGAAGTAGTTTGAGAAGTTATGGAGGAAGATGATGGCATTTATAGGCGGTAGTACATACTATAAAAAGTTACTTGAGAAAAAGTTCACACTACAGTTTTTGACATTACTTGACATGTGCTTTTGCCCTTTTCTAATGAACGTACACAAAACTGGCCTTTTTAACATTTTTCATGAAAAAACAATTTTCGATCAAAGTGAAATTGGAATAACGTTTATAACTATATTGAAGAATACATGGAGATAACATGATGAACTTCTTTTTTTCCCTGTTTGAACATCATGGATTCTTTTTGTCTATATATATTCAACCAAAATGAAACAAATAAAATGCTATATAATTTTTTTAATAAATAATGAGAAATAAAAACTTGCATCAAAGAGATCCCGCACGTCTCAATTAGGTGTTAGTTGTGTTCTATATATATTTGACCAAAATAAAAGGCTACACATTGTTTTTTTTTTTTATGTAAATAACGAGAAAAAACAACTTGCATTAGAAAGATCTATGACATCTCAAATATATTGACACCCACTAAACTGTTCATCCTACACAGTCCCCCGCTCAATATTACAAAATAAAATAAAAATGCTCTACATTAAAAAAAAAAAAAAAGGATTCATCATTCGGCCAATCCCTTTTACAAGATTAAATTTGATTTTAGTGCTAGCTAGTAGAGTTAATTTTTTTAAATCACGTTTTTCCCGTTTTCTCTCCATCTTTCGATAGTATTTTACAGTATATAAATATAATAGTTCTTGCAATATATGAACTTATATAATCAATTGCAACCAAATATGCCACATCATGATCGATTTACCAAATGAAGGGCCGTTTCATTAACATTATCTTTCATATACGTACAAAATATTCCCAAAAGGCCAACAAGTAAAGTGTTTGATGACAAAATGTGGGGACTTGTGCTTGCAAGGATCTTATCTCATCCATGTGCTAAGGAAAAATCAGTTGAGGCATTGATTGGGCCGTTAGCATGTGAGAGTCATATGCCCTTGTGAATGCTTTGCTATTACAAATGGGCCACTTTAACTACGTGTACAGAAAAATAAAATGAATATTTTCCTTTTACTACTTTTGTTATATCGAAATTTAAGTTTGATATCTTTAGTTTTTAAAAATTTTATACTGGTACCTTAACTATTTAGAAAATCTTTTTTAATACTTTAGAGCTATTTTTTGAGACACAAAATGAAAAAATTACCTTTATTGTAAAAATTCATCAATTGACCAGAATTTTAAAGAAAAAAAACATTTTAAAAATTATTATACATGTAGAGTATAATCTTTTTTAAAAAAATTCATCTCTTCAAAATCCTTTTTTTAAAACCTTTTTTTTTTCAAAATTCTGGTCAAGAGATGAATTTTTACAATAAATGTGATTTTGTCTTTTCGTGTCATAAAAAATGACTTCGAGGTACTAAAATAGATTTTTTAAAAAGTCGAGGTATCAAAATGAAATTTTTAAAAAATAAAAGATATTAAACTTAAATTTCAATATAACAGCAGTACTAAAATGAAATTTTTCCTAGAATAAAATAAAGTGAAGGCCATTGAGAACGTGGATATGGTTTATCAGAATATGTATACATGCGGAGTCGTGTGCGAACCACAAATTTTCTTGGTCATGTCTTTTTAAGGAGTTTGTTCAAGTTGGTATATGTGAAGCTAACCTTACTTACTAGTGTCCATTGGTGTGTCCCCAATTTTAATTTATTATTTTTATTTTTGGCTTGAAAGCTTTCCACTTTGGACCTGTTTAGTTTATGCGTTCAAACCAATACTTTTTTATTCTGACATTTGAAATTCAAATTTTTTTATGAGAAAAAAACACGGTAGCAGAATCAAAACCATGAGTTTAAACACATAAAATAAACGGGCACATTGTCTTTTAGGAAATATTGCTCATTTATGTCAAACTAGTTTTGTAACGTATTTTGCACCTATTGCCGTGTTATAAACACCTAAAAAGCTTATTATTTACCGAATTATGATAAATTCATTTATATAATTATTTAAAGATTTTTAAATTTATTCTAAAAAAGAATGTGTAAAGATAATAATTGACAAAAAATGTAACATTTGGAAAAAAATATTATTTTAACAAATAAAAAAAAAGGAATACATGCGAAAAAAATACTCTCATAAAAATAAATTGAGGAACAATATATTTTTAAAAAACACATACAAAAATTAAAATGTAAAAAAAAATCACACAAAAAATAAAGATAAAAGAAATAAAAAAAGAAAAAGAAAAAAAAAAGAGAAAGAGATCAGTGGAGAGGCTGCATATGGCAACCTTATAAAAAAAAACTTGACTTTTTATATATTGTTAGATTAGTTTTTGCTCCCTTTTGCCATCGATCAATAAAATTCTGTGAGGGATACATATTAGAAAAAATATAATATAGAAATCGAAAGGAACGGATTAATGAAAATACCAGATAATGAAATAATTGCTATTACTAATTATGTAAAAACGCAACAACAAAATTCAGAAAAATATCGTCATATAGATTCGAGACCCGCGTACCACATGGTATTCTTAAAACAAATCCGCCCCTCATCGTTGGTGCTTAAAGATAACCAGTTTATGAAGTTTATTATGTGAGGCATCACTCTTTTATTGTTACAGCAGCCAATTGAGCTGGAAAATCAAAAAAAGAATTGCAAAACACAAACCGGCTAAATCGCCTGAGATTTGCATCCTTGCGCGAGCATTGAGAGAGCGTCTTTACTTATTAAGGTGACGTTTGGTAAGAGGATTCATACTTTGATTTGAATCATGATTCATGGTTCGTTACAGTGTTTTCTCTCACAAAAAACACACGTAAATTGAAAATTATTTTAATCTCATGATTTTAATCCATAAACTAAACGTCTCCTAAATTATGCGTCAACAAATGTGCAATCCTATATAAACACCATAAAGGCTTTAATTTCTTGGGTTTTTTCCTTATTTTCCTTAAACTTTTTCAACTCATTGACTGCATTTTAAACCTCAATTTCTCATTCACTCAAGCATCATTTTGAGCATATAATACATCATTTCGAAGATTTCACGAAGTAGAACTCGAACCCACTTTAATCTTTCACAAAGACCAAGTGGCCCCCACTTAAAATATAGCCAAAAAATGTCCACTTAGCATGATTCATAAACCATGTTTTTCCAACAAAACAAACAAGAGATGAAGAGTATGTTTATTTCACAACTCAAGTTCTTAACTTAAATTGTATATGTGAGAGAAAAATATTGTAACAAAAAAATTAAATTTGAAATTTTTATGAGAGAAAATACTGAGCAATGAAACTTAAATTGTGATTTGAGTTGTAAAAAGAATAAGGCTGAGGCTAAAAAAGAAAAAAAAAAGAATTAGAGGGTTCTCGCAATTTTTCTTTTCCGAAACCAAACAATTTTGAAAAGATGATTTTCTACTTTCTGTAAAGATAATAGCCAATGTTCAAGCCCATTTTCTGATTATGCGAGAGTACGACGGTATTTGGCCAGAAAAGAGATTGAAGAGAGGATTTAGATTTCTCTGATTATAAATAAAATCTACAATCACAATTGCGTTGTTTAACTCAAATCTCTAAAAGAATTGAGCTGTCAAGATTGATTGCAGATCACGATGTCAAACATTTCATTGTCAAACAAAATTGATAATTTTTAAAAAAATCATGGTTTCATATTACTACTCTAGATGAATCAATCTGCTCTCTGATTTATACGATTCTGAAACAAATTTGCTGATGCTACTATTTCCCCAATGGCTTTAGAGCATACTGCAATTGGTACATTGAACTCGACAAAATTTTATTTTCTACGTACCTAGTTTGATATCAAACTTCACAACTGGATAGAGCAGAACACAGTCTCAAGTCTAAATTGTACCAAAACAGTCCACGAACAGTTAGGACATATCCAAGTTAATGGTGAAGCACAGACAATAAAATAGCAAACAAACATCCAACAACAAACAGCAAATTTTTAGTTTATTAATTAATAAAAATGTACCCTATTTCGAGCCTCTTCTAATGTGTTCACTTCTTGAAACAAGCCCAAATCCTCACCAAATTTATTAAGTTCTCAATATTTATGGTTTGCATCTTCTTCATACAGACTACAAAGCAACAAAAGTGACTTTGCCTCTTCACTCCCTAAAAAGTATACCTTTTCAGTTGTAGCAAGGCATCTTTCCAAATGCTCAATCCTCTATTTTTCAATGCATATGCAATTGTTGTCACCGCAATCCTGCGCATTCCTTAACCACCTCAATTGCAAGAGGATGGAAATCAGATTTTTCATCTACATTGCCCGCGATTATATTAAACAAGTTCATCGCTTCTTCGAAGGATAAAACTTCAACCTGAAAATTCCTTTCAGCCCGCATAGCATTACTAATGTAGCGGAATCGTAATTTAAGAAAACGAAACAATAAAATAAAAGAGTAACCAATTAACCTATTGATTCACACAGAATATTAGAAAAATTGTTTCAAAAACTATTGATTCAGACAAAATACTGAAATTTGGAAAGAGAGAATATTCGAGAAAAATTCCGAAATTTTATTCAACTGAACTGGTTTTCATTACAAGATGGCGTCTATATAAATAGGCAAAACAAAAACAGGAAACAAACTTATTCTATAATTAAAATACTAAAAAATACGCAATTTTTCGTTGACCCGTTTCTATTCAGAAAACACATATTTTTCGTCCAAATCCAACATCGTCAAAAGATTTTATGAAAACCGAAAATTTACCTTATTTGACTTTGGGATATTCCCAACGCACCAAAAAGACTAGTTCTGCACCGCATCAATTGCATAACACATCTTTAAATCGCTAGGTGAGCAATACCTTACATGTCTTGGTATGATCATCCTCGAAATATATTCCTATATCAAAGAGATCAACTTTCTCTCATAAGTCATCTAGAACTACAGGAATGTTATGTTCTTGTCTCAACTGATGTCGTTGACAATATGCTCTTTACCGTCATGCTTTTGATCT